ACCAAAATAATGTATTCTTCTTTAACTTGTCGGCAGCTAGTTTCACTATCTATTTGGGGGCACGTCCTGACACTCAAAAACACTCCAAAATCCAGAGCCACTTGATGACCTCACCTCAATCCAAGTGGTCATCAAAATTTGGCAAGTCTACTTTTATTTCCCAATTATGGCTTCTCAGATATTCCAATTCATATCTTTGATGTAGAGGTTCTTCATCCTTGGAATCAACATGGTAGAAGAGATTCACTCCATACCTTCGATTTAGCAAATCACAGTTGTGGTTACTAGTGACCACCTCGGATTACCTCCTCTCAAAAGTGGCAAGCCTCTATTGTCATTAGCAAGTTTCCAACTACCTATCTTTCCTAAAAATCTCCTAGACTCTTCTTTGTGAATTCCTAAAAAAAGACATCATTTCATTTCCCCCCGATCAGGCTTCCAGCTATTAACTTCTTAGAAGCATGACCAGGTTTTAGGTTTGGGAGGTGAAAGAGGGTGTATGAGATTTATTACAGGTAGAGTTGCTAATTTTGAAAAATCAGCAGGGAGAAAATTAGAGTTAAGTCAAAATTCGAATAAAATTTAGGGATATGAAAGAAAATATTTGATGGAGGTGGCTTGGGTGGGGGCAATTGCTAAGAAATCCCAAGATAGGACTAGGGTTAGACTAGCTCTGATACCAATTAATACCAGAGTTAACCCAAACCAAGAGCGAAATCATACTTTATTTTTTATTGAAAGAGCTCAACGATGACACTTGAAAACAAGAAAAACAACAACACGGCCCCAAACTTGGCATAGGTTGGCGAGATGGTGCGGCGGTTGACGGGAAGCATGGGCTATGGAAAGGGTAAGACAGTAGAGCAAGAACCTAGTGGTTGGTGGGATGGATTGAGCGGATGGATGGAGGGAAAGCTATTGGAAGAGAGTTGGTGACTTACAGCTGGAGGACCTTCTTTTCGTTAGATGCTACCCTAGAAAGAGAAGAGAGACGTCGATGGCTATCCTGATAGAAATCTCTAAACAAAACACTCCACCTAAAACAAAACCACATTCGAGAAGTGTTGCCCCGAAGCAGTGAGCCACTCCTTAACTGCCTAATAAAATGTATAGGTTGTTTTGTGTGTTCTATGGTTCCCGTATGTTTTTTGTTTCCTGTCGAGAGAACTTCATATCTCCAAATTTTCCCTCAGAGGGTTGTAACCAACGATGAGAAGATGTTGTGGCTGTAACTCATCCCATGGTGGTGCTTATCTTCCTTTCCCTATAACCCTTTCTCCCACCACTCTTCTACTCCTCCAACCTGCCGCCTTTTTCCCTTCTGTTAGCCGCATAACATACTGCCTACTCCAGATCAGCTTGCTTCCAGGATTCCTCCGTTGTCCTGCCAGAAGCCTCCCACCCCTTATCTGCACCTTACCATTAGCTGACATCTCCCCGGCCTGTCTATCCACCATCTCACCACCGCAGTCCTGCACCTCCTTGCCTTGTAGCCACCTGCTTCCCCTTTCAACCCATCACAAATCAACCACCAGCCCTACTGCTCCCCTGTTTATGCCCCTTCAGACTATCAACCTACAACCACCCTCCGCCAGTCACCACATTTGTGATACCGCTTTAGTTGGGATTATCATGTCCTTTTAGTTGTTTACCTTTCAATGTCGTGCTGCACAGTGGCTTTTTTCAGTATAAATGTTATTTGCTTGTTGTTATTTGGGTTAACTCAAATATCATTTGGTATCAGAGCTAGAGTAACCCTACTAAAAAATTCTTCACTTTGCTGATTTTTCAAACCAAAAACCAAAATATTTTCTCTCCCGCCCTACATCATCCCTATACACCCTCTTCCACCTACCTAAACCCAAAAACACCAACCACGCCACTGTAGAGACAATTGTCGGAAGTATAATCAAGGAGAAATGACACAATGTCTTTTATAAAAAAATCTACAAAAAAGTTTCTAGGAGATTTCTAGGGAGGATATGCAGTGAGAATTTCTCCAACTGCAACTGAAGCTTGCTGTCTTCCAGAGGAGACCATCCGGAGGGGTCACACAAATTTCATTCGATCCCTGAGAAGAAAACCAATATCCTGAAGATTTGGCATGAACTATTTGAGAATCTAGGATTTTGAAGTAAATGTGAATTTGTCATATTTCAACAGCCACATGGATCCAGACGGGTTCATCCAAAGGGGTAACCTATAAGGCTGTAATCAAGCCAGGGAATAGGGAGAGTTTGTGCAACAGTTTCCTCGCATGAAGGGAGCTCGAGTGGCTCGGTTGAGTGCCACGAGCAGCAAAGAAAGGGAGGAAAAAGAAGGGGAAGCTCGATCGACTACATGGAGTGCTCGAACGGCTCACCATACTCTCTCCCATGTGTCGTTGACGATCCCTCAACCCTGTGAGCAAAGGAGGGAAAGACATTCATGCCCTAACTGTCGTGTGGCTCGCAGGGAAGGAGGCGAGATTATCCTTATCGTGCAGCCACAAAACAGGAAGGCTAACTCGTGCGGCTTGTAGGAAGCTCAACTAAGAACTTGGATAGGAGGGAAGGCTAACGAGATCCTTCTCGCATGTGTGAAGGAATCGATTGAATCCTTATTTGTTCGGCTGAATGGCTTATGGTAGGTAGAGGGTTTAAAAAGTTAAAATATTAAGTTTCCGTAAGTTATCAATTGTAATTGACTTAAATTAAGTTATGAAATATAATTTCTAATAAATTAAAATAATTTTAAGAAAAATCTTCATGTTGATTTTTACAATTTTAGGTGATTAATAAGAAAGCTAAGACAGAAAAGGGGAGAGGAAAATTTTAGGTATAAAGTTAAATTGCGAAGATTAATTAATATTTTTCTTTTCAAGCAAAGTTAAAAAGGAAATTAAGAATCCTAAATTTAAAATTTTGTTATAGATAAGTTGACATTAAGTAGATATGAAAAAAGGAAAATTGTTAGAAGCTTTAACTTAAAATTCAATTTGGATATTCTGATATATATATCTATATTTAGTTGACACATATAAATATTTTTATTTTTTTATACATAAAGAAACTGCTAATTAAATAGATAAATTATGAAACTAATGATAAAAAATTTAGAAGCTAGGAGAGTAGATTAGCACTGAACAAAAAGGTAATTAAATTTAAATTGGTATCATAGGTGTACATAAGGACTAGACTAACCTGAGAAAAAGGATAGCAAACGAGATTGTTGATGTGGGTAATATATTTTTAATTTACAATAGTTATGTTGATTTACGCATGTTTTTACTATTTTCCTTTTACTTTTAAAATGCAAGTCTATATTTCCTTTTGGATATTAAATGCAAGATACAAATGAATAAAGTATGAACTATGCATGCATATGGGAGCCACCCCTGAATGATATTGATAGAGGAATGCAATGTATGCATGCACAAAATGAAAATGGATTGACTGCCTTTATGGTGGGTTGGAAATATTTAAACAAATTTTTTTTAGAAGTATATGCTTATACAATGACTCCCAAATATGAACAGTGTGACCTAAATTAATAAAAGAAAATAAAATTATTTACTTTACAACTTTTTTTTACTGCATAGATTTTACTGTTTTTATAAAAATATTTTAAAATAAGAATTATTATAATTTAGAAATAATTGTTCACTAAATAGTTTAACTTAAAATCTTAGTTACTAATATTTTTACAGAAAATCAGTTGTAGACTAGATGAACCCTAGAGAGTACGCGTACAGGCGTCGTGAAGCACGGACTAATAGGCATTGTATTTTTTTTTTTTTTTGTATAAATGTAAATGTTTAAATATGAATAATCTATTGTAAATATAAGTTTTATGATTTAAAATGACTCTTTTGTGTTTTAGAATTTTATTTTTGAGAAAAAAATAAAACTGTTAGATATGTTTCCTCCGTTCAACTGTCAGTTCCCGCATTGGCAATTCCAAGCTCACCGGATCGAGTCGTGACATAAGGGAACTCTACTTGCCTTAGAATAATGGTTAAATTTGCTTCCTTACAATAAATATGTTGCTTTGAAAACTGGTAGGGAACTTTGGCTTGATTTTATGCCAATGGAGACTATTTTCTTTGATTTTCTTCACTTTGGAGTGTTGTAAAATTTCTCCTTCAAGTGGAGCTTTTGTAGATTGATCGAGAATATGTGATGGATCCTCCTCTATGTCTCTATACTTTCTATCTAGCCGCCATCACTTTTCCCAGCCGCTCCTTCCAAACAACTGCTAACACCTTGATTTTCAGGTTTTCAAACTTCCTTCCATATCTTACAACATCCAAATTCCTTTATTAATCTTTAACACCACATAGAAATCCCTGTTTGCTGTTATTGATCCTTTTGCCATATGACTTCTCAATCTTCAAATAAATAAAAACTGCAATCATGATTTGCAAGAGCAATCCCATAATTTATCATAATTTATGCGAGCATGAACAGATGAACAGAAAAAAAAAAATTATTGCCAAATTGGAACACTTCATAACGTAATATCAAAAGCACAATCGCTTAAAAGCTAGATATAATATTTTATCTCAAATAAGTTGACCTATATATTCATAAATCATTTTGATTAGCCTGCCTTGAAACGCAAATAAAGTATTTTTAAAGAACATAAGCAAAAATTTAAAAAATTGAAATCCTTTAATTCAACAAAAAAAAGGATTCTACCATAGCATCAAAATACAAAATCAAAAAAAAAGAAAAAGAAAAAGAAAAAAAAACATTAATTATGAAATTAGTTGGATGCCAGTAGATTATAGTGTGGGACACGCTTTGATTGATAGTCAAAATATACATCTTTAAAACATTAGGTGCATTGTTATATAAAGAAGAGAAGGCAATAATAAATCTCAGGAAAGATAAGTTACAGGCCATATTTTCACAAGCAGATGAAGTGTGATTGTAAGTTGAAAGTAAAATAATATCAGAATGAAAAACACAAATTTATCAAAAATCAACACAAATGTTCATCTCTGTAAACAAACTTACAAGATCCAATGAGGCCCACTGCTTCTAGAGCATTTTCAACTTCTTCATTATTTGGAGACTCAAGCTTATTCAATCGCTGATCAATGGCCAAAAGAAATACCTTTATCCCTATATGGTATTTGTGAAAATCAAACGATGATTGTGCAATAAGGAAAAAAAACACGCGCAAAGAAAATTGTCAACCTATCCTCTCTGATGTTTCAAAAAAAATAAAATAACAAATTTAGAAGATGCAGCCTTCTATGTCTTTTAAGAATATCCCACAGATTGTCATTCGTTTAATTACTTTGCCTTTATGAGGGGATGATCATAGTTTCTTTATAAAATTATTAATGTTAGTTATATTAGGAATCCAAAACCTATGAGTGGCTAGCATCAATTTGGTATTAAAGCTTATGAATGAAACACCAAGTTAACTAAAAATCAGATATTAAATGAGTATAAAAAAATCAATAAATGATTCACTTTAAACACGATCGAGCAGGTTATAGCTATAGACAAGTGCATCATCACCATTATGAGGATCAAGATTATATCGTAAATTGAATGTTGCAGAATGCTGTAAATGACACCAAACTTCCATGGGTTGCTTCCAAGGGTTGCCTTAACATACAAGTTTCAAAAGAAATATATATCATGAAACCGGAGAAGGAAGCCCAAACCACAAAAGAAACACAAATATTATTACTAAATTTTAAATCAGTTACAACGACTCGTCAAAACATGAAATAAACGACAAACAAATATAAAGACGCAAGACAACACCTCAAAAGTGTATCCCAAGGGCAGTGGATTTTGGTCTAGTGGATCCGGAGGCTTGGGGACTGCAAGTGTGAATGTGGGAGAGGGCACAACAAGTGTGAATGTGGGAGAGGGGTCAGCAAGGGTTGGAAGGTGAACTGGAGGAGGGAGGCAACAGGTTAAGGTGGCGGGAAGGTTTGTTGGACAGCTGGGAGGTATGTTGGAAGGTGGGTTAGCAAGCTGGGAAGGTGGGGCAACAACTGGGAAGGTTGTCAGCACTTTCGAGGTTGGACAATGAACGGGGAAGTCCTGGCAGAGATGGGAAAGGCCTGGACAGCAAGCTGAGAGGAATTATGGGCAGGTAGAAAGCAAGGTTGGGTTGTACAGGAAGGGCGGCTGCGTGTTGGGATGGAGTATGGGGAGCTGCGGCCTTGTCGGGAGAAGGCTGGCAACAAGTTGAAGGGACGAAAGCAGCCGGCAGTTGTTGAAGAAGAGGTGTGGTGGCTTGCTGTAGGGCTGGGAAGCGGGCGGACAGTAGCAAGAAGGGTGGAGGGATAAATAAATATCTCGTCGGGTCGAGCTACAGTCGAAGCACATCCCGAACCCGTGGAGACAATCAACGCCTCGGACCAGGGACAACCAAAGCACTACCTCAACGTCGGATAAAACCCTCGAACTGAAAAATATCAAAGTTAAAACCTGATTCCAAATATCAAAAATAAAATCCCTCACTCTAAGCACATCATCATCTATTTATAATTAGGCTAGGACTTTATTTCATAGGAAACACTTAAAATAAGAAAGAATAAAATCAGATTTCAGATTTTATGAAAGGCTTTTTAAAAAAAGAAAGAAGAATAAAATCAGATTTTAGAGTTTATAAAAGGTTTTTAAAATAAGAAAAAAAGTATTAAATCAGAATTGAGAATTAAGGAATAAGAAAAAAAAATTCAGAATTGCTGATTTAGAAAAACTTGTATTAGGAAGGTGCTAATAAGGAAAAAAGGGAAGGGGAAGGGGAGAGAAAGGAAACACCCCTCCCTTTGAGGACCAGTCAGTCCTCCATAGCCTCTGTGTCAGTCTCTCATGTTTAGGGGAGCTTCCAAGCTTCTGTATCATTATCATCCACCCCAAATCCCACTGGTGATCATAAGTAGCCCAATTTTGGCGAACTATGTCTTCTACTGTCACTAGTTTTCCCCCATTGAGGTTGTCCTCGTTTTTTGTAGGCAAAAAGAGAAAGCCATTCTAAGACTGCCCAAATCTCATCCTTCTCATGAATATGATCTGAACTTATCACAAAGCTTTCTTCACCACAAACTGAACAAAGTCCAACATCCATCAAGTTCTCAAAGAATTTCCATCCAGTTGACACCTCAAAAAAGTAAGGAATATTTGCTACAACATCAAGCACTACAGAGGTTGACATGCTCCTGGCAACACCAATCAACCAAGAAGAAAAGTAAGGAATGGACTAAACAACATTAACAACGATGATGGCAATAGAATCAGACGAAGTCATAAAGAACATTTTACCAAGTATCATGCTACGATCAGCCAACAATCTCTAGCTGCACCAAACTCAAGGGGCTCATCTTGTGGTTCTGAATTGCTCAATCCCATTCGTACAACTAATTGCTTGGCATAAGTCAGGTTAGTGTCAGGATGGTCCCCACCGAGGTCTTACTTAGGAGTGCATTTTAACAGAGAGCTTTCTTTTGCACCAAGTTCTTCAACAAAAATACGTTTCGCATAAGCAACACCAAGAAGTGCATCATAGCAGAAATTGAAATTTGAAGAAATAAGAAATTTTTGGATTGATGAAAAATCAAAAATTAATCTCCCTATCAATCTGTTGTGATTTGACATAATCTGAGCCGGAGGTACATCACCACATAGATTTTACCAAGCCAAATTTCGAATAAGAAAATATCTCATACGCTTCTCATCTATGACAAGTTCGACATCAACGAGACTGAGAATTTGCAAGAGTTTGAATGATGTGTACTTCTTATTATCTTCCGGGTCTTACCTCAGATTGTTGAAGTTTTGGAGAACCGACATCTTCATATTGCCTTTCATCTTTTCATATGGAACAAAGGGGCAAGGGTTAGAAGTGTAGCTACATGCGATGTGACCAGTTGGTCGTTACTAAGATCATCCACTGAATTTTTAAATTATGACATTTTCTGTTTAGCATGATTTCAACAAAAGGTTCTCCATCTTCTAGGAGAGCAGGGACAACAATCTGATCAAAAGTCGCATGTTTCTTTCGATCACAATGACGAAAAACATTGGATGTATCTACGAACAAGGGGGTTCAACGGGGGAAGACAACATCGAAAGAAAATTCTCGTTCGAACTGCTTTCCAGTGTCTGTGGTGTCTATACCCAACTTTTCGATAATGCCCTGCTCAGTGAAGTAGATCACTCCTCTAGTTGTGCATTCTACTTCAACATGTCCAAATCCGTGGAACTTGCAACAACTTTTGGATACGACAAACTTGCGGAATGGTTTTATTGGATAGTTGTCACTTTTGACGGTAAAAGTTGGTAGGAACTAGTGTTGTGTTTCTCGCTTCATCTTCATATTTTTTCGTTCTTCCCTTCGACCTTCCAGATCACGATCGCGGTATCTCTTCCTGGCTAGGCTTGGACATATTTCTCCTTGGCAGCATGATCGACGGTTTAGGATCTATGAAAGGAAAGAAAAAAAAATGAACAAACAAAGAAGAGAAAAAAAATAAACGAAGGAAAAAAAATTATTGTGGTGGATTGGTTAGGGGCGGATGCTAGAAAACCCTAGGTTGAAACTAGGGCTAGACTCGCTCTGATACAAAATAATATCATAGGAGAAAGCTCAAACCACAAAAGAAACACAAATATTATTATTGAATTTGAAATAGGTTACAACGACTCTTCAGAACAAGAAATAAATGACAAACAAACACAATAACACAAACCAACACCTCGAAAGTGTATCCTAAGGGCGGTGGAGGTTGGCCCAATGGATCTGGAGGCTTGAGGACAACAAGAGTGAATGCGGGAGAAAGCAGGTCAAAATGGTGGGAAGGTTTGTTGGGTGGCTGGATGGTGGGGCAGTAGCGGGGAAGGCTCATCAACACATTTGGAGGGTGGACATCGAGCGGGGAAGCACTGGCAACAATGGGAAAGGCCTAGACAACAAGATAGACTACTGGAAGTGAGTCAGCTGAGTGCTGGGAGGAATTCTAGGCAGCTGGACAACAGGATTGGGTTATTCAGAAAGGGCGACTGAGTGTTAGGACGGTGTATGGGGAGTTGTGGCCTTGCTTGGAGAAGGTTGGCAGCAAGTTGGAGGACAGCAGCCAGCGGTTGTTCGGGAAGAGGTGTGGTGGTCTGTTGTAGAGCTGGAAAACAGGTGGACAACAACAAGAAGTGTGGAAGGATAGACAAATATCTCACTAGCATCGAGCTATAGCCGGAGCACCACCCAGACCCATGGAGACAATCACCACCTCGAACGAGGGACAATCGGAACACTACCTCAACATCGGATACAACCCTTGAAGGAAAAAATACCAAGGCTAAAACTTGATTTCAAATATCAAAGATAAGACACTTCACTCTAAGCACATCATCATTCATTTATAATGAGGCTAGGACTTTATTTTAGGCAATAATTAAAATAAGAAAGAGAAAAAAAATCAGATTTCATATTTTAAGAAAAACTTTAAAATAAGAAAGGAGATTAAAATCGTATTTTAAATTTTAGGAAGGGTCTTCAAAATAAGAAAGACGAATAAAATTAGATCTTAGAATTTAGGAAAGAGGAAAAAAATATTTAGAAATTCTGATTTAGAAAGAATTATATTAGAAAGGTGCTAAGAAGGAAAGAGGGGAAGGATGGAGAAGGGAAAGGGAGCAGCAACCCCCCACCCTTTGAGGACCGGTCAATAGTCCATAGCCCCCCGCATCATATCATTAAAACAAAATAGGTATAGATTGAATAAACATTTTATAGATTGTAAACAAAGATATTCCAATGCATTTGAATATTATGCCAAGTTTTTGAGTCTTTTACAAAACATCATGTTACTCATCAATATTTTGTTACCATCACATGTTTCATTAAAAGTTTTAAGTGAGACATTAGAGATGAATTAAGGTACAATTTATAAAAATGATTATATGAGGCTTTAATCAAATCGTTGAATGTTTATGTATATAATTTTGTTATAACTACCACTCCTGAAATTAATATTTCCCAAAAAAAAAAAACATCACCACTTCTTATGTCTGCCACAATATAAGAATAATTTGCGAATGAATTTGACTATCATTTAGAAGGCATGTTAAAAAGAATTTACATTTTGCAATTGTAATAT